GCACCTGGCTTCTATGCTCACCCCCACCCCCACCCCCCGGACGCTATAGCAATTTATAATTGGGGTGACAACTGAATACATGCTGGGCTGGTCCCCAAGGCTTCTGAAAGACCCTTGCATTGCATCTCTTCACAGCAAAAGCCAGCATTCTTCAGGATCCCTGACTACTTGCCAGGCTAAGGCCTGCTCATCATGTTTGCAATGGCTCCCTTAAAATATTCTGTATTAATGTTAATCTTTTTTTTTTTTGCCTGCTTTAAGGAACTTTGAAGTAAATTGTGTCTTCAGAGAACCCAAAGAAGCTCTGCTCTTGGCAGGTCCAGATCAGCTCTTTTCAGTGCCGAGTTCACCACACAGATGGGTGAGATCCGCACAGTCTGGGGCTGCCGTTTCCTTTGCCAGACACAAGTGAGACTTGCACCGAGGCGAGCTGGTGGCCGCTTCATTCTGCCAAAGGAGGATGAACTCGCCCAGCACACCGTGCTCTCACTGACGGAAACCACAGCACTGGCTGGTAACTACCTGGTTTTTCTGAAAAACAGACCCCCCTGCGTAGCGGCACAACCCTCCAGAACGCTGCTGGGACAGCGTGGGTGTGCCTGAGGCACTTACTGTTTTCATCGCTGTCAAGATGGCGATAGATGTAACCTTCCAGGTAAGACTGAAATTTGGGTGATGGGGAGAAGAAGGCCAGGCTGATGGCCATCAGTTCCCAGCCCCACGCCAGACTTCGGTAGCACGTGTTATCCGTCGTCTGCCGGATCAGCTGTATGTAGAGCTCATCCCGTAAGCCTTGCACGCTCCAGCACTTGGTGACTGTGACCAATGCCACGTGATTCCGGTCCATGCGAGTCTGACGATCTCCCATGTAGCTCTGCACCAGTTTGAACATCTCACACGCCTCTTTTTTGATGGTGCGGTTGCTAGTGATGAGCATTGGCTTTTTGATAGAGCCGCCATTCCAGGACAGCATGTTGGAAATGGAGATCCTCCGGCGGAAGATGCCCTGCGTGTGCATGTTCAGGTTCTTAGAAGCCCAGTCTGCCATGCTGCTCTGAGAGATGGGCTTCCGTAGAGTATTGTAAGGGAAATGATATCCTATGCAGCCGCCGGCCTGGCTGCTGCTCTCCTGCTTGGGGTCCAACTCTGTTGTCCCGGGCTGCAATGGAGAACAGACGTGTTAAAAGCAGCTCAGATGACTCCTTACCCTGCCAGGAAAACTATCAGCAGCGAGTCATGAAGCTAGCAGCAACCACAAAGTGGTGAATCTACACAAAACAGGATTTTGTGCAGAACTGGTGGCTGACGTGTGTAGTTCTGCAACAGTCTGGGTGGCACAGCCGCCTACTGATGCTGTCCCCCATGGAGTAGCAGGGCTGGTTGTCCAAGTTGTCCTAGAGCTCCTGGGGACTGCCCAAGCAGGAGCTGGGCCGACTCCCAGAGCAGCAGTACAGCTCCGTAGCACCAAGCACACACTAAGGAGCCCAGTTTCTCCCCACTCTTCAGCTCTCAGTTCCTGCCACAGGAGGCACAGGAGCCCAGGAGGTGGGTGAGGAACACCAGGAGGTGGCAGAGACTGGACAGTCACAGCACTAGGAGCACCGTGTCCTTTCCACCTTTACCCTTTGTGGCCCCTACAGTCCCACAGCTAGTTCCTGCCTTTACTATTTGTCCAAGATCTAGAAAACAAAAAAGAAGACAAAACCAAATCAACATGGCTAGCGACCATCAGGAGCTGCTGAGCTTTGGGCAGCCTATGCCTGGACAGCCTCTACATTGAGGCGTTCAGACCACGTATCTCAATTCCACCGAGACCCTCCTAACAGACACACCAGCCAGAGTCACAACCGGGACAGGAGGAGTTAAGAGAGGTGCAGTGGAGCACGGGCACAGCTATTTTGATGGCAAGGCTGTCACCCAGGTAGGATAAATCGTGTTTGAGCTGGTGAAGTGAGGGGCACGGGGTATCTGCGTCAGTCAGCCTCCACCACCGTCGGAGCTGGCTCTTGCCATACCCCCAGCCACACCACGACCTCCTGCCGAGCAGGCCTTGGTCCTCTGCCTCTGCGGGGAGACACAGGCTGGGGGCACAGGCCCAGTGCTGCCGCGAGTCCCGCGGCACAGCAGTCGGGGACACCTCTAGATGGGCTCCCGACCACGTCTTCCTGTCCAGGACCGGCAAAACCTGCCCCAAATTAAATCAGAATTCCTCACAAGTGCGAGGCTGGTTTTAATTCTCAGAGAACTAGGGACTGCTGCTCCCCACCTGCAGTGCGCAGCGATCAGACTGCTTTGCTGCAGGGACAAGACCACTGACCACAGGTCTGGAGATGAGCTGCAGAGACAAAGACCTTCCCTCCACCCTGGCTCTGCATGCAGTTTTCACATCCTTCTTCTTCAGCAACCCCTAGGGATAACTACATAATCACAGCTGTGGTAGGACTGATCCCAGGTAACGACGACTGGTGAGAGTAAGACACTTCTTTTGCCCATCCAGAATTCTCTGTTTTGGATGGAAGTGGCAGCCTTGGACAGGCATTGAACTCAAACACCCAGCAGGTCGCTTTAGGAAACAGACTGTTCTGTTAGACTTGAAATTCCCACACACAGCAGCTCAGAGCTAAACAGCCCACACTTTGCTCTGCGTTCTCCAAGCAGCTCGCCAGCAAGCGGAAAAAAGCCAAACAAGATAATCTGCAGGTTTCTGGGTTTTAAAGGAAGATCAAGAAACAGAAATTCTGTAATTTTTGTTTTTGCAGTGGAAAAAGTGACATAAAACATCCATTTTCCGTCTTTGCAGATCACCTTCAACTTGTGTGCCACACTCTATTCCAGTCCTGGCCTACGCCAACCCCAAAACACACATTAGCTCTTCAACGTTCAGAGCAAGGCTGTGTTTTCTTCTCAGTGAGGAGGAACTGCTGAACTCACGCCAGAGGCTCGTGCGGTCCCACCCCTCCCTGTCTTGCACCCAACATGTACCTGCATGTGGATGACGGGATCAGCACACATCACACTCCACCTCCGACTGCCAGCCTGGGGCACAATCATTTCCCCTGCTTTTCTACTTCGTTTTGTCTTTTATCCCTCGGGTTGCCCCTCTGCCTCCTCACCCTCTCTGAACTGGCTCAACACGCTGCCTAAAAATCCCTGCCTGCAGTTCTCCTCCACCATCTCCATCCTCGGGCTCCTTCAATCCACCTGCCATGCCCAGGGCTGGCTTTCCTCCTACCACCCCAATCGCTCCTTCTACGTGTTACTTCTGAGGATCCACCTCCTCAGAGTCTCTAGAGGTTCAACAGGCTCCTGGTTCTCTCCTCTCTCTAGAGTTTATCTCTCCAATCTCGTTCACCCAGCCATTACCTTTGTGCTGACAGTACACATCCACCTCTGCCCAGCCTGTCCTAGAACTTCTGCCTACCCTCCTCAAATAATTAATTTCCTCGTCTCCCAGTTCTCCTCTCCATCACACAGGCCCAGCACAGGGCTGTTCCTCAAGCCACACAGTGCTGTTTTCAGGCGAGGCAGCGATTTTGCTGCCATGTTCTCTGCAACCTCCTCCTCTCCTTACTTGGACTCTTACCTCTCAGAGCATTTCTGTAAATAGAGCATTTATTTATCGACCCCTTGCCTTTACCACAACATCCATCTCCTTCCATCTTCCCCTGTATTCTCCTCCTCCATCCCACCACACTTGAATTATTTTTCTTCACTTTCAAGGCTATTCACAGCCTGTCCCCAACCCGCCATCTCTTGTGCACGATCAAGACATCAAGTCCCAGCTCCCCCTATCAATGCAATGAGCTGTGACGCATCCTGAAGATCGGACAGCGGTTTTCCAACCAGTCCAAAGAGGCTGTGAAATGAAACTGCCGAACTATTAACTGTACCATGGGACTCGTGTCAACTCAGACTGGCCCTGTGCCTGAAAAATGGAAAACGCAGGAACACGGCATCGGTCTTAGAAACGGTTTCAGGTGGAATCAAGGCCCTATCGATCAGAAACTACAGCAAAGAGGAGAACACACACACATGAATCTGATACAGCAGGGCTTTGAGAGAGCCTGGCTTTTAGAGAGAAGCTACACCTCACAGGTCTGCTGAGCAATGTGAAAAGGTCAAGGAGCTTTGCCAAGGTTCTCCCTGAAAGGTCGTGGACTAGCAAACAGGAGATGAGACGAAACAAAGGGTTAAAATCAATGGTCGCTTTTCGCGCTGGAGGACTGTTCTCAGCTGTGCCGAGCAGGAGCACAGAGACTCGGGCTGCTCAGCGGGAGTGAAATAATTGGAAGAGTGAGCAAAGAGAAAAAGCACAAAACCTTCACAGGATCTCAAATTACCTCTGTAGAACCTAAATCTGAACCCAAACCCTGAAGCAGGAGGTTCCTTCAGATCCAAAGGGGAGAAAAGACAGCAAACCAAATTCTGCACCAGTGCTGTGTTATAGGGAAAAATGACTCCACTTGCACAGGCACACCAACAGGCGTCAAAACAGCCATTTCCAGCAAGAAGGTGCAGAGCCACCGTTTCTCTGAAGATTTCTACTCAATGCTCAGGAACGATCAGAACGGAGAAAAGAATGTGAGGAACTATCAGAAAAAGGAGAGAGCGCAAAGAAGATCAAATGCTGCCACGTGGCCATGGAAGTGCTGACACCTGCGTCCCGTACCCCACCAGCTCTGGCCATCCCAGCGCAGATGGACGTGGGAGGGCAGGGGGTACCAAAGACGACACAAACGCCAGCAAAACGAGCAGGCAGTAGATTTACCAAAAAACCACAGCAGAGCCACCCACAGCGCCGAGGGCTTGCTGGACACGAGCCCCTCCACAGTTCCCCCTCCTCTCACACCACTGGCCTGAAACGGGGTCTCCACCTGCAAAAATGTGAAGCTTTGTGACCCGTTTGCTATTCTGCAGGCACAGACATGTTCTGCCTGCAGCACAGCCACCGAACCCCCCCGGGAGCAGACCAGGCACTCGGCTCTGCTCCACGACAGCCCAGCAACGGCGCGCGATTTCACCCGGCGTAGACGGGGAGGTACCTGGGATGAGCGACGTGTAGCATCTGATGAAGACAAACTTGTCTGGCTGGTCACATTCTTTTCTAAAGAATCTATTTTCTCAAAAGTCCTCTTCTGCCTCACTACGTCCTGTTGAGCAGCCGCATCGTTTGTAAAGCTGCCTCTGCTCTCCAGGCCTGGTCTATACAGGGACCTATTACTGGCCGAGACGTCGTCCCTCGAGCTCCGGCTGATGCATTTTTTCAAGTGGTCAGACTGAAATCTGACTTTACTGCTCTCTGCCGGGATGCCACTCTCCAGACTTTCAGCATCGAGGCTGGCTTTGCTTCCCCTGCAAGCCGCTGACCTGCCCACCACAGCACGCATCTCAGCAATCAGCTTATCGTTCAAAGCCGTGAGCTCGCTGCTGCTGCCCACAGAGCCAGGTCTGCCTTGCCCTGTCCCTTGCCTCCTTCCTTTCCTTTTTCTCAGGCTTGGAGAAGGGCCAGTTGAATAACCAGAATCCTGATGGCTTATACCGGTTGGGTACTCTTGAGTTTGCATGCTGTTCTGCCGACTGTGGTGGGCTTCCATGTTCTTGAGGACGTTGGCTTCCAAGATCCTCCAAGACTGCTTGAAGCTGTCCTTTGAAGTAAGAAGACCAGGCAGTTTAGTGGAGGCATCGGCTGTTGCAGCAGAAGGGTGGGAGAGTCTGGAAGACTGGTCAACGTTGACCATATGTTTTATATATTCTCTGCCAGCTGGGCTGTATTCAGTGGAAGAAGGATTTCTCGCATGCTTCTTCACAGCTTGCTGCTGTTGCGTACTGGGATGCTGTAACAGTTTGGTTGGTTGCAGCTGCTTTTTTAAGCTATTGCTCGGCGACCTTGGTGGAGACATCCCGCTCACACTGACGCTTTCAGTGTCCATATCTACTGGTGGCTCATCATAAATGGGAGACTCTAAAGATGGCTCATCGTATATAGGTGCAGGGGAGGCATACTTGGGGGATGCAGGCTGGGGGGTTCCCGCCTGGCTCCTTGGAGGCGTCTGAGAAGTTGGACCATTCATCAGCACTAGGCAAAACCCACCGTTCTCTGTCTTTTTGATCTGCATAGACTGCTTTGTTTCTCCTGTAGGCATTTGCTTCGCGGCTCCA